AAGCCAAGAGTCCATCACTGATGTTGAAGAGTAAAATTAAGGAAAAAAAAGTGAAAAATGAAATAGGAACAAAAATCTCACTCTGTTCCTTTTCATACTGTGGCAATTTGGGTACTGTCCTTTCGCCAGGTCTTCACAGCAGCATCCTGGCTGCAGGAGCCCAATCTGGAATGCAGTTTGTAACCTGCACTGCAATTCTTAAAGAAACTTAAAAAAAAAAAAAAAAAAAAGCCCAGATCCAAGAATCAACCTAACCTACCTCATGGTTTACATATCATTAAAATGGACACAAAATGCTACAAACCCATCTGTTCTTTTTTTACTTATGCATATATACTTGTAATCCTCCTACTGAGACAACAAGTAGCTTTGGTGGCACAGAACGGGGGTCCTCCCCATGCCTTCAGGGCTCAGAGCAGTGCAGGCTCAGGCCCTCTGTGTCATCTATGAAGCCTTATTATTTTAACCCAGTCTGTATCTTGTTGCATAATGTTTTAAGATGTTGTCTCCATCTTTATGCAGCGTGTTTAATTTAGCAGCAGATGTGCAGGCTCATATGCCGTTATGGTACATTTTGTTCACTCATATAATAGTGAGTTTCTCAAAATTGTTACCAGTTCTTCAGCACTCCTACGGCGTGATATTCTCTTCTCTATATGGTGAAAAGCAGAAAAGCTCTTTATTTCTCCATCTGCAGGTGCTAACGTGGGAGTGTCGGCTCATTGCGGAGCACGCCTGACCTGCTGCATTGCTTTTTTGGGGAAAAGGCAGCAAGCAGTCAGAGGAGGACAAGACTTCAGTCCTTAGGTTTCTGGGCACAAAACAAGCAAGGCACCTAGACAGAAACTGCTTCTTGCCACCCACAGAGGCATGCAGGCATTCCCATGGAGAGGCCTTAATGCAAAACATTGCTGAACGCTTTGCGGCAGCAGAATCATACTAATAACTAATAAAGGCACACAAGCTCATTAGCAATGGTTTTGTAGCAAGAGACCTGCTCTGGCTGTTCTGAGGGTGCCGAAGGCTTCACAGCAGAGATTGTTTTCCCACAAACTGGAAAGAATCTTTTTTCTTGATGTCCTGTTTCCCATGCGATGGCTAAGGGCGTTTAATGGAGGAAGAGAAGGCCAAACGTCGGCCACACAGAAACTGTGTGATTCCTCTTCCCAAGTGCATAGGGTGACATCCCTAGGCATTAAATAATAATAATTATGATAACCTATTTTTTATCCTTCCTAATGAAAATCTATGTTCTTTTCTCATCACCCGTATAAATGTTTAATCCATTTTTGGTTCCTGCTGAGCTATTGTGCTTAACGGTACCTTGACACTGTGAGCTCCACATGTTGTTTTGCTGTTGCTTTTCCAAAGAAAGCATCCAAAAGGAGGATCTGGGCAGGGATTGAGTGGCTGGTGTCTGTCTTTCCTGTCATCCCCCTCCTCCCTGTGACTCTTAGAGCTGGGCACCCCCCTCAAGAATGCGCTGCCGGAGCGGGGAGGAAGGATGACTCAAAGTGTCCCTCCTGCACTGTGCCGCCTGCTTTGTCTGTTTCCCCACCCCTGCCATTATTTCTGTGTGTCTCCTTTCTTTTCTCCACATTTCCTTTTTTGCACTGAGCCAGGCTGCCCTGCTGACATCTGAAGCCTGAGGCACAGCCCCGCTGCAGTCACGGCCAGGGGTGGAAGCTTGGGCACTTCACAGCCCTGAGAGCTGCTCCTGTGCTGAAACCTTGGCTTGAGTGAGACCCAGCTTTGGGACAGTGGATCTTAATGTAAAGGTGGCAGGGAGAGCTCACAGTGTCTCATTTCAGTGTTACAGACTGTTTAGAATCATAGAACGGCTTAGGTTGGAAGGGACCTTGAAGCCCCTCCAGTTCCATATGTCTGGGATTGCCCCTACCTGAGTGCATCACCTTGCACTTGGCCTTGTTGAACCTCACTGGATTGATGTGAGCCCACTTGCTGAGCCTGTCAGGGCCCTCTGGATGCCATCGCTTCCCTCTGTTGTGTCAGCTGCACAGCTTGGTGCCATTAGCCAACGTGCAGAGGGTGCACTTGATCCCACTCTATGTTGTTAAAGAAATTGAAGAGCACCCAGGAGGACCCCTTGGAAGGGGTGCTTTCTGTGAGAGGTCTCTAATATTTCTGTCCAACAGAGCGTTTTATTTTGGCCTTTTCTTTCTTCTCTTTTCCCATCGAATGCAGGAAAAACAAGCCCTGGTGCAGCTCTTCTCTCATTTTCTGGCTCATGGACTGTGGTATTTGACAGGCGGTATTAAGAAGCTATCTAAATGTGTTAACATCGGGATGAATATTTTTTCCTAAAACATTGCATTTAAGTACATGGCTTCTTTAAATAACTAACTAACTGCTGGCTATCATCGTGTCCGAGGGTTTTCAGGAAAATTTACATTTTGAAAGACACTGTTGGAGGCTAACTCGGACATGCAATTACTGTATGTAAATCACTTCACTTGTTTCCTAATCTCGCTTAAGATGAAGTACAGTTTTTCTGTGCGTGCCTCTCTCTCTCGCATTCCCTTATACAATGAGGTTTTCTTGTCTTTTAATTGCTGGCCGTGATTTCTGTCCTGCCTTGCCTGATTGTGTTTATTTTATTTCGGAGGACATTTAGCCCCGCGCTCGGTTCCCAGTTGGGTTGGATGGAGAAATGGCTGAGATTGAAGTTGGAAGCACAGCTAATTGCATCCTCACTGCTGCAAATGGAAAAGCTCTTTTTTACAGCTCCATAGGAAGGCTGGGGAGCACCCACTCGCTTTGCTTCCTTTCATCCAGCCCTGCCATAGCCTGCCTGTAAGCTCCTGCCACAGTTTCAGTAAGGCTTTGGAGCTGTGCTTTTCTTGCTGGTCGGTATCATGGACACCTGTCATGCAAGGATGGAGCAGATAGAGTCGTTAGGAGGGAGCTCATTCATGGGCACTGTGTTAAGCTGTGCTGGATTCTGTTAATACAAGCAGCAATCTCTGTAGTTCCTTTGTGGGAAGTTTTCTTTGGGGGAGCAATACAGTGGGTTGAGATGGCTGGAAGAAAACTTCACTGGAAGCATTTGTCCATTAGGAAATGCTATCAAAACTGCATACCCTTTGCATATCGATTTTGTTTGGGGAAAAAAAAGAGTCGCAGACAGAGCATAGTGATCCTTTTGAGCATTTTCACAACAAAACAGTAACTTTTTTCTTCTGGAGGAACCTTTTTGTAACACATTGTTTCTCCCCGAAGGTGAGCTGGGATTTAATAGACCTGGAAAGCCACGTGTCTCCATCTAACACTGGCCATGGACATGCTGCCCTTGTGTTAGCTGTGCTGACAGCATCATTCCTGTTTTACAAAATGTTTTGGCTGTTGCAAGCTTCTTCCTCCGGAATGGAAGTTTTCTGCTTCTTTCAAAGTGTGGCATTAATTATTAATGGAAGTGGGAACCGTGCTCTTTAGCATCCCTATGTTTAAAAAAAAAAAAAAAAAATCAATTAATTATTGCTATAAATCTCAGAGATTACGCTGCAGTTGTGCTGCTGGGAAATTGGCCATTAACTACCAGGAAATTGCCCATCTTCCCTGAGTCAGAATTCAGTTGTACCAACACAACCGTTTTCCTTTTATAAATTAACTATCAACGTGATGCATAATTGATAACCATTTATAATAATAACAACAATCTCCATGAAATTGTCATCTCGCTCTGCAGTGGCTTTGTTAGAGCCCTCACCCTGGTGTACACAGCCCGGCCCGTGGGTTTGTTAACCTGGAGGCTTTCGCTTGCACAGTCCAGGAGAGGCTGCAGAGGGGTAATTAACCCACCAAGGGGACTGCGTGACTGTGCTGCAAGGATGAGTTGAGTGCTGCTGGTTGTGCTCTGTGGAACAGGAACCAGGAGCCAGTGTTTCCAATGAGGACGTCCCTTGACTTAGCTGCATGCAGAGCGGCCAGAGCTTGCAGCTGGGTGCAGATGGCCGCTCAGGAAAGGATTTCTCACTCCTCGTGCATGTCTTCCCCTTCCCCTTCTGTCCTGGTAGGGCCTTTGTTTCCACTAGTTCTGCTCTTTTGGCAACGTGACATGGACTGAAAAGGGTAGGGCTGGAGGCAGGATGCATCCCTGGAGGGCTTGTAGCTCAGAACTGGGAACCTGTCTTCTTAAAACATCCGAGAGGATAGCTCGCTAGTGGGTTGCTGGCTGTATAATGTAAAAGATCAGTGCGTGCCGCATTGGGCTGTTGGAATTCAGCTGTCAGCATGAAATCTCTTCACCTTATGTCTTCATTCATTGACACGACTGTAGATATTCTGTGAAAGGCTCAGCCCTGAGCCTTGCAATGCAGTTGCTGGGGCAAATACTGTGCTGCACCTTCAGGACTGCAGCCTGAGCCTGGCTTCAAGCACTGGGAACGTGTAGAAACCAGAGCGATCCACCTGAGCTGAGAGGTTCAGGTTCTTCCTCCATGTTATCACGGTGCAGAAGACCCTGCAGCTGTTGTCCCTTTGTGGGGCATTTCTTGCCAATGTCAGGGTGCATGGATTGTGTTATTTCATTGCATTTAAATGTGTGCTCAATACAAAGTATGCAGGTCGGGCCACGGTGGCAGCTGGAACGTACATCAAGGTCTAGTTGGAAAGTCAAGGGCCATTGATGACTTCTGCTGGGCCAGGCTGTGTGTATGTCTGTGTGTGTAAAAGTACTGGCAGAGCAAAAGCTGCTTTCCCTTTTTTATGTACTCTCTAATAATCTTTCAGTATCTGTGAACCTACAAAATAGCTTAATGGATTTTGTCTGCTAGGAATAGATTTTTAAGGCAGAAATGAAACTCGGAAGGCCAGGCAGCGCTTTGGCAATTCTCTTGTACAATGCTGGGTTTTCTGATCCCAGGGAAGATAAAGGGGCTGCACGCTCGGTTGGCGGTGTAGGATCTGGAGGGACGCAGGGCTGGAAGTGCTAAACCCACAGCCTTGGCTGCAGAAAGCCTGCTGAGCTGGGTGGGTTGGAAATCCTATTTACCAGCTCCTCTCCTCTCAACAGGATCGATACTGGCGGTATGCATGCCGACTCCTGTGAGTTTTCCTGAGTTCCCGGGGGACTGCTTTGCTTTTTGAATCAGGAAGTTGGAAACTACCATCAAGAATGGCACTTGTAGATAAACACAAAGTCAAGCGGCAGCGACTGGACAGAATTTGTGAAGGTAAGAGGATATTCCAGCATTTCTATGAAAGATGACAGACTGTTAAAGTAGAATTACCTCACTTGTCCTTGTTTCATACAGCACTCAGAAACTGAGATCCAGGTCCATGGCTAGATCTCCCATCTTCTGCGTTGGCACAAACTACATCATATTGGTGTTGAAGTATTGGCAAGGGACACACTGGTTCTGCTCATTCCTCCCCACAGTTGTGTTCACAGACTTAATTACCCAGTGTCATGTCCCGCAGCACTGGCATGAGCTCTGCCCTGCTGCCCTTGGGGAGTTTGGGTAAAGCTCAGAGTCCTCCACTCCCACACAGCCACCACTCGCCTTAGGGCTTTGGCAAGGCAGAGATTTGGTCGTCTCACAGCTGCTGCTTCGTGGATGTGGGAGTTGACCATCGCTCATAACAATGAATATCTTCTGAAAATGGATGGAAATTCATAGATAGTTCTTGAAGTATATTGGAGTTGAAACTTGATGATCCTTGTGGTCCGTTCCAACCCAAGCCATTCTGTGATATTTCATACGCTTTGGAACAGATTGTTCGAATGGCTTTTGTTTTGTTGGTGTGTGATGATAAGACAGATTTGCTGTAAATTGTTCTTTATTAATTGTGCGTTACAGTGGGACAGCTGACTCTTACCTTCCATTTATTCCATTTTTCAGCAGAAGTCTATAGCTAATCTTTTCCTATTGTAGCTCACGTGAAGTTACTTATGATGGAAGTCAAGTGATGGCAAACAACCTCTGACTTTCAGGTGTACACTCTGGTACTTCTCTTATGCAAACCGACACTCATGGAAGTTTTATCATCAGTGGCAAAAGCTGAGCAGAGTATTATTTTAGGAAAAATATCATAAGTCACATCTCTTAAAGAGCTCCAGTTTTTATCTGCTCTTAAAATGAACGGTGGCCTGCAGGGTAACAATTTGCTGTATTACTTGAATACCAACCAAGTGAAATAGGTTTTGCTCTTGGATGAAAGCGCAGAGCTCACGTGGGAGCTGTACTGCATCTGTTTCAGCAAAGTGGAGTTTGTGCAGCTTCCAGGGAGCCTAAAATGCTGAGCACTGGGACAAGGTGGCTTTGGGATGGCTATTTGTGTTATGTATTGCTTGCTCCAGCATGCCAGAGCTGTTGCTCTCCACTTGTCATGAGTTGTTTAGCTTTAGATCTGGGTGAGCCTCGTGCCCTCCTGCACACACACAGCCCCATGAACAGCCTGAGTATTGCCCAGAGAGCAGCAGCGTTGATGGGGAGCTGAATGCTAAGCTCACAGAACAGCTGACAGGAACAGAAAATCAGCTCTTCGTTTAATCATGTCGTACATAAAGGAGAGGCAACCCTGCCTCTTTGTTTAATTAACCCATCCCATGTGAGCAGCACTGTGTCCCTGGGCAGGATATGAAGCCCTACAGATTTTGGAGAGGTGGAAGTGAAGCAGAAGGAGGTGAGGAGCCGGGAAGGGGTATCCAAAGTGTGCTGCAGCGTGGAGTTGCATATTTCTCCTTTTGAATGTCATAAACACTCAGGTGTAGTACAGTTTCTCATCTTCAAAATTTACTTTGAACTCGACTTAAAAGAGTTGTGTCAGCTGAGCCTGGATGTTCAAAAGCTGCCTTCCCGGTTTGATGTTTACTATCAGATCGAGTTGCTGAGTGTACAAGAAATTCAAAAGGATTGTACGACAAACCTGCTAACAGAGCTTTAGATGTGATTGAAGTTTAGATTATTTTCCTCTGATATATGAACCTTCTTCTTCTTTCTTGGTCAGAAGATATTATTTCTTAATCTGTAAACATGCAGAAGACATAACTATTTAAAGTATACTTTGTCATTTGCCAGCTGTGTTGTGATTTGATTTCAGGGGTGGGATTCATGTTGTAAGACACCTATATTTATAAGCAACAGATTTATAAGCACAGATGACTGTGCGCTGTAAGTGGCATTATAAAAGCTACCTTGAAAAATGCAAAGAGATGGGATTTCACAAAATACCAGGCTCATAGGACTGTGATAGTCCATACTGACATCTCTGATGGCTATTTTTTATTATAGTCACCTACTTGGATTATAGCATAGGAGAGCACAGAGGAGTGGATGTTCCGGCTGCTGAAAACACACCTTGAAACAACAAGCTTTTCTCTTGGTGTTGTCTTGAAAGTACATCGAGCACGTGGTGAAATACAATGAGAAGTCAGGCAGCTGTTGTCCAGAAAAGTCGCTTGAAGGGTTCCTGTTGGGTTGGTGGCTGGACTTGATGGTCTTAGAGGTCTTTTCCAACCTGAATAATTCTACAAATCTTTGTTCAGTGGAAGCATTCGTGCAGCTTTTCTCTTTAAACAAACGGATGGAATGCAGAACTGTGTTGAACTGATGGAAAGATAACTGCATGGTAGTACACAGGGGATTTCTGTGCTTGTTACCAGGTTGGTATGCTGTCCCATCCCTTTTACAGCACGCACAGGAAGGGATGTCAATCAGTGCAGCAGGGTGATGGCACCTCCGGAGCTGAACCATCCTTGTGCTTCCCCTGCGTGCTGCATAAGCTCTGTCCAAGGAGTGCTACTTAGTGCCCCAGGTCTGTGCTGTGCTGCACAAACTGCTGCTGAGCAGTGGTTCTTAATAGGGGGCTGCTGGAAACATAACAGGCACATGTTGAGGGAAATAGCTTACAAACTGCCGCGGTACTAACAGAGTGTTTTAAGAAGCTGCAGCGTTTCTGTGTCTCTGTTAAACGTGCATCTGGCATGGAAAAGTAATCCAGGCTGTACAAAGGGTGGTGGTATCTTTGAAAATGCCTTTATGTGCAGGTTTATGAGTCTTCCAGGAAGTAAGAGAGTTTGGTTTCATTGCATTACACAGTGCCTCCGTGCTTTTTTTATGTGCAGTTATGAGGTCTTTATATGACAGAGCTCCTTTTCCTGCTAAGCAGGCTATATCCAAGGGGCGAGCTCTGCACCAGGTATCCAGCTTTGCTCTCTAGAAAACTACAAGTGGAATAATGGTGCGTACTTAAGGGGATAAATAAATATCAGGGCAACAGCCTGCAATAATGCCATTTGGAGCAGCCTGCTAAGAATTAAATGGCTTTGTGGTGCCCGTTAGAACGAAGCAAAGCCTTAGCTTACCCGCTTCTTTCTGGTTGTCCCAGAGAGTTTGGGTGCTGATGCTGTAATTGGATCCATGTGGGTGGAAAGATGGATCCAGTGCAGGGCTGGGGTTTCGGAAAATAATGTGTGGAGTGGTTTACAGAGTTCCTGTTTGTGGAATCGTGGCTGATTACGTAGTGAGTCCAAATATGCCTTAGAGGTGGTGCTGCTGGTGCTGTGTCTAGTTAGAGTTGTTCAGCACCCCTTAGTTCAATTCCCTTCCCATTCGCTTGTAATTTTGACACTTTTTTACATGCGTTTGAGCTGGATTTTTCCATTTCATGATGAGTTTTTACTTCAGGGTGAATTTAAAAAAAAAAAAAAGTTCCAGCAAAAACCGTTGAGCCGCATCTAAGCAGGAGATGGTGAGGAATGTTGGTTTTGCTATGTTGGAAACAAAGCAGAGCCCCTAACATGCAGCGTGGAAGCCACAGTGCCCTTCTGCTCTGCTTGGGAAAAAAAGGGGTCTGAATTGTGCAGCAGGGTGGCTGCGGTGCCAGGAGCGTGCTTGCTGTTGTTCCCAAATTTGGGGCTATTTCTTGGCCTTTGAATGCAGTGAAGCTTGCACACGTCCCTGTTGGACACTGGTGGACACTTGGGCATGTTGTGGGCGGGCTCCTCTGCATCCCTTCAGAGATGCATGATGCTTTGTGTACCCAGCAGGGACAAGGCAGTAGTGGTGGCACAGCCAGGATGCTGATGACAGTGTCTTATCTCTGTGTAAAGCTCAGGTTTCCCAACCTCACTGAATTTCTCTCCAGTGATGCCCAGTGCTGCCTCTGCTCCATAGCATTGCAGCCATGCTGCTTTGCTGTCTGCAGCTCCAGAGCCTTGAAATTTTAACACTTGGCTTTATAGGTTAAAGTTTGCACTGACATTTATGAGTCAGTTAAGCTTTCAACACACACACACCCAGAAAGTGGCAGCCCTGAGATGAACAAGAAGCAAAGAGGAAAAATAATGGCAAGGCCAAGTGAGCCCAGGCATTTCCTGACGGAGCTCTCACTTTGGGATTTGTCGTTATCTAACGAGGAATCATGTCCTTACACATCAGTTTGTGTCACCAGAGCTGTCGGCGCCTTGTACAACAGCACAACCATTGGAAGTGCCACACAAGCTCTTTGTGGCTTTTGTTTGCTTGTAGGGCCTTCAGTGTGTTCTGTGGCTGATAAATGCCAACTCAGAAACATTGTGCTTCCAGTGCTCAGTGCACGGGTCCCTTGGCTTTAGGAGCTACAGGCTTCTATTCCCCAGGTGTTTGCCTTCCAGCCCTATAGTTTCAAGATGAGATGGAGCACTCTCTCCTTTCTCACGTTTCCCTACCAAATCTGTGGCTGTTCAAAGGAAGAGGAACAGGAGAGCTTAAGAATCATGCAAAATCAAGACAGACTGGGCAACACTTTGTTCCTGGCTGGACCAATGGCTCGTTATTTCTTTGGCTGCAGTGGTGGTGCTGGCTGTGGGTTTTGACCGTGGCCTCATTAAGGAGGGTTTCTGCAGAGGACACCTGATGCTCAAATGAAGCACCCAGATTTGGAAAGGAGCTGACGTGAGGGTGGGAGCTCCTCTGTGAAACGCAGGAGGGAATTTGGGGAAGGAAGGGATGGTTTTGTCATCAACAAGTTTATCTTGGCTGTGGCTACAGGGGGCTGGTTAAGTCATTTCAAGGTGGGCAGGAATTCCACATTTCTGCCTGTGATGGAAGTCAATGCAAACCATATACAGTAATATTTGAATAAATGCACAATGTAATGCCAGGTATGCTGGTAAATAAAGCCCTGGATCTTTGTCAGGGGTGCTTTTTACTTGGTCTGTATTTCAGTTTCTCATCCTTAAAAGTGGGCT